TGGGCCTCCTCTGCTCCCGGCCCCTCTGCTCCTGGCCCCTCTGCTCCTGGGCCTCCTCTGCTCCCGGCCCCTCTGCTCCTGGGCCCCCTCTGCTCCTGGCCCCTCTGCTCCTGGGCTCCTTTGCCTATGAAGTCCCTCCCCAACCTAGCTAATCCCCATCATCTGGGAAAACTTTCCTGCTGTGCAGATTCTCAGATCCAACCTCGCACAGTGTATAGTATTTGCTACTACACATTACTAGCTGCCGCTTGGACAGTTCCTGTCCCTGTATTTGGATTCTGCATGAGGCTGGGTGCAGAGGCCGTCGTCTGCCCCAGCCCCCAGCCCCCAGGGCCTGGCACAGTGTTCTGCTGGAGGAGGTGGAGGGGCACTGTCATGGTGCTGATGGGTGTGATAGGGATGCCGCTGATTCGTCCAGCACCTTTTGGACGCTTTGTCTTTTTCTGCAGCCAGGCTGCGGAAGGGAATGGGATGAGAGCGGGGACAGCCACCAGTTCTAGGGTGTCTTATCCAGGTGCTGGTGTGCTGGGGCAGAGTGCCTCCTCCAGGACTGGGGCCTGCACTCAGGCCCAGAGCTGAAGTCCCAGGAGAGGGAGCATTCTGGTTAGAAGGGGGCTCCTTGGAGGGCTGGCCCTCGCGTCTCCCTCTCTGAGCCCCTGGGTCTCAGCCGCAGTGTGGAGAGGATGAGCTGCCTGTCTCTACCTGCGCAGTCACCATAATGAAGCCGCCGCCTTAGGAGACCACCAGGGAAGAGCCGCACCCCATGTGAACTTCCGAGTGATTGTGGGGACAGAGCGGCTGTGGCGCCCGCCCTGTCTGCCTGCCCTGCTCTGGGATCTATTCTTGGGGGTGACATTTCAGGAAAGTAAGGGAGGGGAGGTCAGAGTCAGCACCAGCTATGAGAATGGGGTGTCCCAGAGACAATGCCCCGGCACAGAAACGGGGCCCAGCAAGCTTCTCTGGCTCTCAGAACACACCCAGGTGCTTGCCCTTTCTCACCAGAGCAGGGCTGGCTCCCCCAGCCCCGCCCCTTACAAGTTCAACACAGAGAGGTTGGGTATTGACTGTCCAAAGGGAGGGTCCGCAGACCGAGTGGGGTCCCGCCTGCCCCAGAGAAACGGCCTCTGCCCCAGAGGAAGATCTGGAAGACAGTCAAGCAGTTAGCACTCAAGACACCAGATGAGGGCCATCGCTGCCATGTGGGAACACCGTGCTGGGCTCTCGGCGGCCTGGGCAGGCTTCCGTAGACACACACCGACCCGCAGGAGCGATCACACCGCTGCCTCAGCACCCACCAGAGCTGGCAGCATTCCGTCCACACCAGACCGAAGAGCCCGGGGCGCGGCCTCTCCAGTTCTGTGCCGGAGCTGCCCTCCCTCCTCCTAAAAGCAACTGAGCCTCAGCTCCTGGAATCCTCTGGGTTAATTCCGGTTGAGTGTGAACAGCCCAGCCACTCTCTCCCATGTGGGGCTTAGCCAGGTGCCCTCTGAGGCCACCTCCCGACACACACGCCCCCTCCCAGCCTGGCCTGGCAGGAAGTGCCTACGAGAAGGGGCTCTGCTGTGTGGTCACTAAGTACACCCGGTTGCCCTGGGCACACGGTAGGATGGCCGTGCCCAGCCCCCTTGACATTAGGAGTCGCCTGTGTCTTGCTTTGGCTGGTGAAATGTGAGTGGAAGTGACATGTGTCACTTCTGCGTGGAAGCTTTGAGAGACGGTCACAGTTTGCCACCTCCCCCTCCTCCTGACATGGTCACGGGAGCACGTGTGGAGAGGGAGCTGTGGGCTTGGATCTGTGGGTAACAAGGTAGAGCACAGCCCGGGCCAGGCTGCAGAGCATGGGTACCATGCATGCAACCTAATGCTTTAAGCCAGTGATTTTCAATCTCTTTCATCTCATCACATATACACTAGTGACTAAAATTCTGTGGCACACCCAACAAATACCTTTTTGCCCATCTGACCAAAAAAAAAAAAAAGGATAATTTCCATTCATTTATACCAGATGGCTACTGTGTTGGCTGCTGTCATTTTTTTATGACAGCTAAGGGAAAGGAGGTCAGTGCTCCTAACTAAATAGACAGGTATTGCATGTTTTAAAAATTCTCGTGGCACAGCAGTTGAAAATCGCTGCTTTAAGTCACCAGATCCTAAGATTGTTTGTTTCTGGGGCATAACCTGGCTCATCCTAACGACTGTAGCCTGTTCTTGATTGCCTTTGATTCGGTCTGTGGGCTGGCCCATTCCTTACCCAGGGTCAGAGAGACATATGCCATTATCCCACAGGTAGGAAACCTGAGGCCCAGCAGGTAGAGAGAATTACCTAGAACTTGTGATTAGAAGCAATAGACAAACATTCCCTTCCCTTCTCACCAACATGGGGGGGCGGGGGCAGTGCAAGGACTCCCTGTGGGTGGGCCGGGCCACTGGTCAATTTCCAAGTCCCTCTTCACATCCTGAAGTTCAAGGCCCACCTGTCCCCAGGGCGAGGGGGCCGGGACACGTCCCACTCCACCTAGAACTGGGGATCCTCGAGAAGCCGGGGGCGGGGCTGTACTCACACTCGTGGCGTACTGGATGTCCTTCCAGATGGAGGTTTCCCGGGACAGGTCGGAGGCCTCAAAGAGGTTGTCCAGGATCACCTCCCCGATCATGTCGTGGCGGGAGAAGCGGTCGAAGTCGAAGACACTGAGGTGCAGCTTGCGGTCAGCCAGCTCCTCGTAGGGCACGGGGAAGTGGAAGTGCTCGTCGAAGGTGGGGTTCAGGGTCTTGCGGTGCACCCGCGTCTGCTGCTTGCACTTGCGGTCGGGCAGGAGGTAGATCTTGACGTAAGGGTCCGAGCTGCCGCAGAAGTCCTTGGCGGGGAGGTCGAAGGCCTTCAGGATGCGCACGATCAGGGTCTCGGTCTCGTAGTCGTAGCGCAGGCTGAAGTTGATCTTCCCGCAGCTCTTGGCGGCCTCGGACTTGGCGTCGTCCCCATCCACCGACTTCTGCTTGTACAGCTCGGGCTTGATGCGGCCGATGCTGGTGGGCTGCTCTGCGGCCGGCGGCAGCTCGTGGCCATAGTCCACGCTGGAGACGTGCATCTGCCGGGGCAGGTGGCGCTTGAAGGACGTGTGCCTGGCAGGAGCGGGCAGAGGGCACGGTCAGAGCTCAGGGGGAGGGGGTGTAGGCAGGCACCCCCCCACCCCCAGGGGCCCTGGCTCATCCTCCCCGCAGTGGGGGCCCCCTTTCCCTCTGCACACACTTTGTGTGCGGTACATCTTAACATATGCGAAGTAGTTGCAGTGGGCCTGGTATGTAGTGAGCCCAGTAAATATGAGCCACTGCATGCATTCTCACTCTCCCTGCTTTTGTGCCACGGTCCGCTTTCTAGGTTTCTGTCCTAGTAGACGTGCCCCCGTTTCCCACATTAAACCACGAGATCCCTGACGAGGAGGCCCAGCCTTTCCTGTCCTGGAGGTGGCTGGTGGCTGTGCCTCTACCCCGACCCCGTCACCATAGTTAACATTCCTGGGCTTTACAGCTCGGCTGTACAAGTTCATCGTGGCTCTGCCACGGCCTCGCTGTGCGACCTTGGGCCAGTTATTTAACTTCTCTTTGCGATAAAATGAGGGTGATAAGAGGAGCAATTGCATAGGGTTGCTGTGAGGATGAGATGAATTCATACATATAGAGTACTTGTTAGCACGGGGCCAGTGAATGCTAAGGGACATGTCACTATCAAAGGGATTCTTTCATGGGCTCCGCACAGCCACCCCAGAGTCATTAGCTCTGTTCTACAGTGGGGAAAAGTGAGGCTTGCTCTAGGCCATACAATGAACTCTGTCAACATGACCCCAGCCCTTTCACTCCAGCCCTCCAGCCTGGAGACCAGCCCTCCTTCCTTCTGGCGGGTCCCCTGGGAGCTGGGGGAGACACTGCAGGGACCAGGAACCCACAGAGCCCTGCGTTGTGAAGAAACACAGTGCCTCATGCCTGCACGCATCACTTCTGTTAAAAGTGTTTCTGGATTTAGAGCAGATTTTTGTGATTATGTGGTGGTTGTTGGTTTTGGTTTTTCCGTTAAAGAATGCCATGTATATAAACGCTGTCATGTGGGGAACTCTGCCAGGGGCTACCGAGAAATTCCCAGGCACTGCAGACTCCAGCTCCAAGGCCCTGTTGACATATCCCTAGACGCCCATGAACGTTCATGCCTCTTGGCCTTGGCATGTTCTCTTCCCTCCAAACACCCAATACCTCCCACCGGCACACACCCTCATGCACACCACACGCACAGCACCCACCCGGGGGTTCCCCTTTCCTGAGGACTTTGCAGGTGCCACCTCCTAGCTGATCACCCACCATGGAGCACATCCTCTGAAATGTTCTCCAGTCATAGTTCACTTGTTATTATCTCTGGCCTCTGCCCCTCGCAGAGTCTCTTTATTGAATATGAGAATGTGGGCGTGTGGGGTGAGGGCAGGGAGGGCACCCCTCACCTGGTGGATGACGCTGGCTCTGTGGTCTGTCGCTGCAGCCGCGTGTGACGCACGATGTGCTCTCTGACCGACATCTGCACCTCGGCCGGGATGTCTGGGGACGTGTGGCTGATCTTCACGGCCGCCTCCAGGAAGCCCAGGGTGCTGGGGTCCTTCAGCTTGTCCGCCATGGCGCCTCTCGAGCCGGGGACCTTAGCACAAGAGGGACTGGAGGTCTCCTTGTTCCTCCGGGGCGTCCAGCACAGCTTCCAAAAGAGAAAGAGAAAAACTGCCACCAGGGCCACGCCACACACGACAACTACGACTGCGACGAGGCCGACAGAGGTGCCTGCCCTCGGCGTGCGCCAGGCAGGGGGGGACAGGCGGACGGAGGCGGGAGAACGGGCAGGGCGATGGGAGAGGGAGCACACACAAGGGACAAAGACGGAAGAAGAGAAAAGAATGGTGGTGAGAAAGCTGCCCAGGCGGAGGGGACATGGCTTCAGGGTTGACGCTCCACAGTCCACTGGCCTTCACCCTCAGCTGATGTTACAGCGCCCCTCCCCCCACTGCCAGCTTGGAGAGCACCTGATGCTTGTTGGCTTGTGCACGGGGAAGGGAGAGTAATTTCAGTAACAGCCTAAGCAAATGTGCAGATTCGTGAAGCATTCACATTCGGATGCCGTTTGAATTTCTATTAGAGCTGTTACGATGGCGTATCGCAGGGTCATTTTCGGGCACAGCTCTCTTCCTCAACAGGCTGAGCGGCCTTGGAGATCGGAGACTCCAGGACCTCCCCCTCGGCCTCCCCCTCCCCCCACGTGGGGCCCTAGGAGCAGAAGGGCACAGAAACTGGCCCATGAGAATAAATGAGTGAATGAATGAATGGCACATAAAGGAGCAGTAATTATCTCTTCCACCAACTTTGCTGAGCATCTGCCTTGGGCCAGGTGCTAAGCTCTGCTTGGAGTACAGAGATGCTAGGTCCCTCCTGGGGGGACCCAGAGTACTCTCACAGCATGCAGGCCCCAGGGAGAGCGGTCCCCCATCCAGAGGGGCCTGACAAGGAGGCGAGGACACCAGCCACCCTCTCTGGGGAGCCAGCACTGCCTTCCGACTCCCTGGCTTAGGGTACTGGCCTTGACCAGCTACCATGTTATGAATAGGGAGTCACAGCAGAGAACCCTCAAGTCCTCGGCCACCTGCACCAATCCCCAGGCCCCTGCACAGAGACACTGGAGCCATTCTGGGCCAGAGGAGCCGGATCAGTCCTTGCCCGGAGACTGAGGTCTCTAATGGGGTGTTGCATGCATCCAGGGGGCACAAGAGAAGAAGTATCAGCTTGTTCTAATATGTATTTACTATCTTAATAATAAGACATCAAGCTCTGGCCAGCTCAACCTTGGTTGAGCGTTGTCCCGTGCACTGAAAGATTGCCGGTTCAATTCTCAGCCAGGGCACGTGCCCAGGTTGTGGGCTCAATCCCCAGTGCGATCCCTGGTTGGGGTATGTATGGGAGGCAGCCGATCGATGATCCTCTCTCACATCAATGTTTCTCTCTCTCCCTCTCCCTTCTTCTCTCTCTAAAATCAATCAATTAAGAAAAGAAACATAAAAACCGTAACATACATACAAGTTGGTAGTAATAGAAATGATGGCATTTTATTATTGTATTTAGGTCAAGTTATCGAACGTTGCCATGTCCAAAGTACAAAGCGCTTTTTATGTGTATTACTCATACTCTCCAGGGCAATGGGCCTGGCTATCATCCACATTTTGCAGATGAGGAAACTGAGGCACAGAGGACCGAATTGACTGCCCAGAGCCACACAGCTCGAGTGGTGGCGCTGAGATACGACCCAGGCTCTTCAGCTCTGCAGTTCTCTCTGTTGATGTGTGGTATATATCATGGGGACAGATAAACACACTGTTTCCTTAGGCCCTCAGCCCCTGCGGTGCTCGAGAGCAACCCCAGACAGATACATCCTCCTCCTAAGTATCTGCCAGCTCCGGACCCTTGACCTCTGCTCTCTGTTACAGCTGTGCTGGCTGCCTCTCTGCAGTGAGTCATCTTAAAACAAAAGGTATTTCTAGGGCTTGGCTTTCTTTTGATCATACATCTGACTTGCTCTGGTGGTAATTCGAATTTTAATGAGGAAGGGGGAGAGGTGGAGGGGTCCAGAGAGCATAGCGTGCATTTAAATGCTCAGCCTGACAAAATACTGAATTCCTAAATGAAGAGAGAGGTGGGGCAGAGGGCGGGCCAAGGGAATCAATTCTTCCTCCGTGTGGTTGCTATTTTGAACGCTTCTCCGCGTGGCCCCCTGCTGCTGTTCCCTCGAAGCTGTGATTAAGGGAGGCAGGGGTATGGATTCCTGGGACTCAGCACCCAGCGCTCAGTGCTGGTTATGTAAGTCCAGGAGGCCTTCCTCTGCCCACCGGATCTTCTCCCTGCATGCCTTCCAGGCAGGCACTGCGAGGAGAACCGGGTCCTGGTCCTGAGTGGGTTCACCCTCACGGGATGCAAGGTGAGCAAGGCCGGGAAGAGCAGAATTAGGCCAGGGCAGGAATAATTGTACAGGACTTAGCCCCCTTCAAATCACTGCACATGGCCTTGGACTCAGCCAGCCCACTTAGCCTGGTTAAAGGTGCATCGAGGCTGGGAAGGGTAGGCTCTCCGAGGCCTGAGGACTGTGCAGAGGCCCAGATCACCTAAGCCAGCGGTCGCCAACCTTTTGTACCTCACAGATCACCCATTGGCGACCGCTGACCTAAGCTGTGTGCCTTTCTACCCTGCCTGCTGGGGGCAATGGGCCAGGATGTGTTGCCCTCACAGGTGCACAGGTAGCCTTCAGAGCCTTTTCCCCACCCATGTCTTGTTGGAACCACAGTCCCATGAGGCAGATAAGATTTGATGGGCAGCTCAGCCACCATTTGAGTCCTGACCCAGTGCACTTCATATGGATACCAGGCACAGCTTCATGACAAGGCAGAGGCAGCCCTCTCATTAGGGCAAACACCCTTGTCACAGCACTGGAAAGAGAAAATACTTCCTAAATATTGGTATTCTTCCCCCATCTTCCTTCTTTATTTCCCCTTCAGCCTGGAGAGAAAGGAGCTCAGATTGGGCTCATTCAATGTCCATCTCCACTGGCTTTAAACTGTGTGACTTTCACGAGCTACTTAATCTCTCTCAGCCTCAGTTTCCTCATCTGTACAATGGGTATAATGATAGTATCTACCTCATAGGAGCATTGTGAGGTTTCAGTGAGATCAAAAGTATATAAGAAATGCTGAGGAAAGTGCCTGGAAGGTAGTAAGCAACATAATAAATATTAGCTATTTTAAAAATATATATATTTTTATTGATTTCTGAGAAGAAGGGAGAGGGAGAGAGAGATAGAAACATCAGGGATGAGAGAGAATCACTGATTTGCTGCCTCCTGCAGGCCCCCACACTGGGGAGCAAGCCCGCAACCCCAAGCATGTACCCTGACTGGGAATCAAACTGTGGCCTCCTGGGTCATAGGTCAACGCTCAACCACTAAGCCATGCTGGCCGGACAGCTATTTTTATTGGAAGTACCTGTTTCTACCCAGTCAGGCTTTAAATATCCCCTCATTGTGAAATTTATTTTGTTGGCAGAACACTTGCAAGCCATGAACTCTGATAAGCAGAGATAGCTTTAACTTTATCATTATCAACCAGGAACAAGCTTACTAGCAGAAATACTGTATTTCATACATAGCCAGGTCTCTCTCTGGCTCAAGACATATGGGCACCGCAGGAAAGCTCTCACATCTGCAAGTCTCTCAGTCAATACTCATGTGCTTGCTCCTTGTCCCGTTGTTTTGTTGTTGCCCTCACTAGCCAGCTGGTGGGCAGCGTGAGCTCCAAAAGAAAATCATAAAGAAAAGTCAACAACTGAGATTGTGTGACGCTTTCGCAACACTTTTCTTGGAAAGTGGAGGAAAGAAGTCCTTTGCTCAATATTAGGCATGAAACATCTTCATTGGGCATCAGAGGAGCCAGATTCCACAGGCACCTGCTCTGGGAAACCATTCTGGCCAATTACCCAGCAGCAAAGAGCTCTGGAACGAGGCATGGGGAACACACCAGGGACCTGGCACTGTGCGAGGGCGCCTGGCTTCTAGGCCCGGCTGGGGAAGTGGGTCTCACTGGGGCTCAGACACGGAGGACATCTCAGGGAGCATCAGCGCCAGAATGACCACAGAGCATGTCCACCCACATGTCCGATGGTGTGACCTTGAACAAGTTACTTAACTTCACCAAACCTTGGTCTCTTCTTTTAGTTAATGGGGCTTCTAATTATCCCTACTTCACAGACTTACTGTGGATATTAAAGAAGCGAAGACTTTCAGGACAGCGGCCCAAACGTACACTGTTATTGTTCTTCATGCTTTGCTTTTTTTGGTGAAGGACAATCGTTTACTGCGTACGGAATGGACCCACAGCTGGGCCCTTCGAGGCAGAGGAGGGGGACCCCAGCCCAGAGGCGGGGTGTCTGAGAGACCCTCAGGCCCCTCTTCTGTCCCGGGAAGTTGAGATCTTCCTGAAGGACCTGCCTGTCACCTTAAGTGAGGCTGTCTGGCACGGGTGATGGCTCGTGGCCTCCCTCTCTCGCCAGGAAATGCTGGGTTATTAATTAGCAACCAGGGCTCTCTTATCTCCACAACTGACACTTCTTTCTCCAAAGACAGATCCCCGGTGCCCCCGCCCCCTCTCCACCCATAGTGTTAGGATTCATCTGTGGCTCTTATCGCTTGCTTTTGTCCCCATTTTTCCAATGGGCTCCCATGTCAGGAAAATCCATTTTGCAACAGTAACAGGCATTTTCGTTAACAGATTGTAATTGAAAAGATAAACTGGGGAGAGGAAGTGAAAAGAAAGGACCATTTTCCTCGCTCCCCTCAAATCTGGAGAAGGCTGCAGGGCGAGGGGCTGTCATTCAGACACAGACGACAGAGACAGACAATGCGACCCAGAGCCGCAGAGCAAAAACCACAGAGGCTCGAGCCTGGGAGGAACAGGGCCTGGTCTGGGACTGGCAACGCCTCTGAGCATTATTATTCCAATATTAATACCAGTCATGTTATTTGTTACTTCTATGGGGTCAGCACTGTACCCCCTTACATGATCTCACTTCATCTTTAAAGCCTCCCTAAGAAATCAGTATTCACCTCTCAAAGACAAGTCAATTAAGTTTAGAGACGTTCACTAAGTAACTTGTTCAAGAGAACA